CCATAGGATCACTTGAATATCCTCACAATATGGCAGCTGGCTTCATTCAGAGCAAGTGATCCAAGGGCAGAGTCCAAAGAGAAAGCTGCAATGCCCCTTATTGGAAGTTACACACTCTTCCTGCTGTCTCATTCTATTTGTTCAAAGCAAGTCACTAAGTACAGATCACACCCAAGGTGGGAAGGGGGAGTGTTGAATTAATCTCCATCTCTTAACAGAAAGAGCACCAAGGACTGGTGAATGTATTTCAACGACCACAGCAGGTGTTCTCCTAGCCTCAGGTCTGACAGAGAATTTGATCTTCCTCTTTAGGCCTTCTCTGGCCATCTAATTTACTTTTGTAGCTTCATGTGGTTTAAAATGAAACATGACTCTTTCTTCCAGAAGACTCTGTCTTTTTCATAAGTTTCCAAGCCCCATGAAAAGTCACAGAATGTTGAGAAAAGAAAAGGGAACTTGAAACGATTCCAGCATTACAGGATCTGGATATAGTCATCTGTCTCCTTTGTTCCTGTTGCAGCTCTAAAATTTGACATCTCTGATTCTTCTCAAGCTAGAGTCCCTGCAATTTTTTGAGCAGCTTCTCCATGGTACTGTCACCTAATATTGAAATCATGCTCAGTCCCCACTGGCTTTCACCACATGACTTTCTCCTCAAAGCCTAACTACACTTGATTCTCTGTGACTCTTTCACTATATATTTAAACTATTTGGCATTTGGTGTCCTAGCTCTCAGCCAGTTATCTTAATTATTTACCTCTCTGCCTTCAAACTTTACCTCTCATTTCCATTGATTTTCTTACATTCCCATGTTTGTATAGCAGGATCAATATGCCTAAAGCCAAATTCAGCCTTTCCATCCAGAGTGGTTTCCCTCTTGCTCTTGCTCTTTATTCTCTGAGTCACAAGCCCCCCAAAATAATAAAAATAAATCACCATTTTGGGCTTCTTCACTGCCTGTATTCCTTATGTTTGTGATGGGATTCTTGCTGTGGCAAAAGCAGCTTACCTGTCATGTAGTCTGAAACAAATTTCAGTCATTATCAGGGATATTAAAATGTCCCAATACAGAGACTCTTAGTTCAGCTTTGAGTCAGTTCAGTTGCTGGATCCATTCTGAACTTGAGATTCCAGTCTCCCATCTGATCCCAGTTCCTGTCCTGACATCTTAACCTTTGCTGACAGATCTCCCCAATGTCTAGATCAGTGCATCTCGACTTTTAATATGCACATGAATCCCCTGGGTTTCATGTCAAAAATACAGATTATTGGGAGATCTTGAATAGTGCCTGAGATTCTGCATTTCTAACAAGATTTCTGGTCATGTCCATGCCACTGGCTCAAGGAAAGACCACCTTTTAGATAGCAAGGTCCCGTGGAAACAGTCTTCTAAATGTGCTTCCTTGTTTACCCTCTCTCTCAGCAGAAGGGAAAAATCAAATACTGTCAAGTTGTCATGATCTCTGGATGACACACTGCCTGAATAATTGGTGCCCAGCATAGCAGAGTACTGGAATCTCCTGGGGATCTTATAAAAACTATGGATTCTTGGGTCTATTTCTAGAGATTTCAGTTCAGTGGGTTTGGGGGAGGGCCTCAGAATCTGTATTTTTAAAAAGCACTCAGGGCTGGGCTCGGTGGCTCAGCCTGTAACCCCATGCTTTGGGAGGCCAAGGAGAGTGAATTGCCTGAGCCCACGGGTTTGAAACTAGCCTGGGCAACTTGGCGAGACCTCATCTCTACAATAAGTACAAAAAATCAGCCAGGCATGGTGGTGCATGTCTGTAGTTCCAGATACTTGGAAGACTGAGACAGAAGGATCACCAGAGCCCAGCAGGTCGAGGCTGCGGTGGCTGGGAGTATGCCACTGCCCTCCAGCCTGGGTGACAAAGTGAGACTCCAACAACAACAACAACAAAAAAAAAGATAAAAAGCAGTCAGGCAATCTTGATAACTTTTGAAGAACCAGTGTCTTACAGACTAAAGTCCAACCTGAAACCCTAGAGGCAAAGTCTTTCTTCGCAGATCCAATCTCCTTTATTTCTCAATTTTTACTCTCTTCCAAACCTTTGTTCCAGGCAGACTGTCTCTCAAACAGACCCAGATCATCCCCTTCTCTTTACTTTGGTTTCACCTACAAATTCTACCCGCTCTATAATTAAGTTATCTTGTCTATGTGCATTGTTGCTTTGCCAAAAATGCCAGCTACTGGAAGACACAGCGCCATGCACACAGCCAGTGGGAAGAAACTTTGTCTCCACTCTCTTGGGTCCCATTGAATCTATACATCCTCCCAAATTCTACCAAGCCACTGCTCCTCTCATATCAAATTCCCACAGAAAATCCAATCTTCTGGAAGGATGAGAAATGTGACTCTATTGACTGAAATAGTAATAGAATTGACAGCCCTGCCCCAATACATAAGAAAGGATGTTGAGTCACACTCCAATTCTATTCAGAAACTGGAGTCCCTGAGGACAGGGACTTTGTATTATATTTGTTCCATGTTACTTTTGTAAGTCAAAGGCATCTCATGCTCACCAGTAAATACAAAGCTAAGCAAATATCTGAGTAAGTTTGGTGCTTTGCTGGAAGGTGACACATAATGGTAGAGATGGAAAGAGTCATTATGGGTAATTAGTCAAAATGACATCAAAATTCTCTAATCAACTTTTTAAAGCATCTTTGAACCCCCAAAATATTAGGTTTCAAACTTCAATATACCTTCACTCCTAAAATATAATTAGAACATTCTATAGTGCTGTGGAACACATAATGCTAACACTGGCTGTGAGAAATCGATATCTATCAGTATCCACTTAACTTACTTGGGGAAAAAACACTAACGGCCCAATTGGATTTAAGAAGTGAGGCTGACTCAGCACACAGGAGTGTCTAAAGAAATAAAAGGAAACAACATCCAGAAGTCCTCTTTGTGAATCAAAAATATGCCCTCTAGACCAAACTTCTTAGCGAGAATACAAGATCCATCATCATCTCACTCAAATCTGCCTCTAGCTGCACACTGTTCTTTTTCTATCCCCAATCTGGATGACCTTTCTGGATTTATAGCTGTTTCCTTGCTCAATGCCATGCTCTTTCCTTTATGCCTCAATCCTAGGCACATACTATTTTCTCCATTCAAAAAGCCTTGCCAAACACTCAGCCTTTCAAATCAGATATCACCTTTTCTGTAGAAGAGATAGCTGTTTCATTCTAGAGAGGGGATGGGATCCAAAGAGCTGTGAGAGTACATATCTTCATGTTATTCTTCTCAGTCTCTTGCTTAGTGCCTGGCAACTGGTAGATGTGATACATTTCTTTCAAGTGAATAGAGGAGTTGCCAGTTAACTCAGATGAATGGAACCCCTTGCCTATTGATCTGAGGTCAATTGCTCTTCTGACCTTATTGGGCTTTTCCAAAGTAAGTCTTTTCCCCTCAATATAATAATAATAATAATAATAATAATAGGAGCTAATATTAATTGAGGACTTTCTATATGCCAAACACTGTGCCGTCTTAACTTGAATAGTTTCTTTTGACTTCACAAATTATTCCCACTTACAGATGAGGAATCTGAAGCTTAAGACACTAAGTAACTTGCTGAGGTTACTTAAACGAGGGAGCCAGGTTGAAGCACAGAACCCATGTACTGCAGCATTAAGCTATATTGCTAGCAGCTAATCCACACCACTAGGATCATGGCTATTGACTCACTGCTGATACTGCTCTCCACTGAGAAGCTCTTCCACTTCTAGCTACACAGCCTCAGTCTCCCTATTGTTGGCTAAGAGGAACACAGGGCCTTTTGTATTTACCAAAAGAGAATGGCAGCAGTCTCAATGTTGTAACCTGCCACTGGAAATGTCCATGACAACACACTTGGAGGTTTTCTTGGTGGGTCCCAGTGTGGTGATGAGTGCAAGTTTCTTTATTCCTTATGGATCCTGAAAAATGAGACCTTCAGTACCTGGCTTCCTATCATGTACCTGGAAGAACGGGTGCTACATAAATCTTAAAGATACACCCTTAAAATGTAGTTAGACTCCTCAATGAAGCCTTTCTTAGCACTCTTTCAACTATAACTCATCTCTTTCCACTACTCAATTCCTCAGAATTGTATCTGTAACTCTTTTATAGTTCTTTATTTCCCATTCAGCTACAGAGGGAGTTTGCTATAAAATGTGGCAAGCATTCAATTTAAAAATTGCAAATAGCTACATCAAAATGCTAATTCATGTAATGTTTAGGCCAAATGAGAAAAGACCCATTTTTCTGGAAAAGACTATTGAACTTTGAAAGTTAAGACTATAGCTGGCTCCCGATTTAATTTCTTCTTGATTAAGAGAACAGGAATGGCGTGGCAAATCTAAAGGAAAGAGCATGTGTGCTTTGTGCTTCTGGTTTTTCTGGATGCCAGTGACTGAAGGTTTAAGGTGAGAGTCCTGTGTGTGTGTGTTTCTCAGGAGTGGTCTTTATTCAAAGAGGCAGTGGGAAGACTGAATGGGGACAGCTCATACACGGACACACTGTGATCCAGTGTACGTTTAAAGACAGACCTCATTTTATAGCAACCGTAACATGTCATTCTAACGTATTAGAAAAGATGAGGACATGGGCTATGAGTCCCATCTGGATTCATGGGGATAGAATCAGAAAGATTTCCAGTGCCTTTGCAGAGTACTAGCAACATTTATTAAACACCTACCTTAGGTAGACATTACATGTGTGCTGACATGAGAAGCCAAAGATATTCGTTAAGCCACGTAGAAACTGCGGTCTGCTGGTTCATTCTTTTGGAGAAAGCAGGCGACTGGGCAGTGATTGAAGTGTCCAGCAGGGGGCTGGCATTCTCTGTCTATAAGTAACCTTGGTTCCTCTTCAGAGCCTTAGCTCAGCAGAGCTGCCGTTTGCTGGTGAAGCCGGTGACGTGCAAAGCATCCTGCCTATAGGATTTGAGGATTTCTCAGTGCAGTTTTTTCTACTCACTTTAAACCTTCAGGTTCTAAATATCAGGAAAGATAGGAAATGCTGTGTGAAAACAGCAGGCCAAAAGTTCTCAGTAAATTGCTGCTAGAGAGACTTAGACTAGGATGGAGGTAGAAATTGCTGATACAGAGTGGGTTTAATTCAAAGCCTTTTTTGTGGCTGAGTTTTTGTTGTTGTTAACTTACTGAATTTAGAGTTGTATTGCACTCGTCATATGAAGACCAGAGAAGCACCAGCGTCAAAATAGTGACAGTTTTGAATACCATAGTATATATATACTCAGAGTATTTTTATTAAAGAAGATAAAGAGTCCAGCATAGATCTCGTCTTCATCTTCACACAATTGCAAAATTAAAAGTTAAGAAACAGCATCTAAGGGCACTTTTAAGTGGGAAAAAAATCTAGAGATGGCTCTAAATGATTGTTTGCTTCTGAACTTGGAAGTGGACTATTTGGTGCACTGCAACATCTCCAATCACAGTGTGGATCTCCCCATGAATGACGACTGGTTTCACCCTGGAATCCTCTATATCATCCCTGCAATTTATGGGGTTATCATTCTGATAGGCCTCATTGGCAACATCACTTTGATCAAGATCTTCTGTACAGTCAAGTCCATGCGAAACGTTCCGAACCTGTTCATTTCCAGTCTGGCTTTGGGAGACCTACTCCTCCTGGTAACATGTGCCCCGGTGGATGCCAGCAGGTACCTAGCTGACAGATGGCTGTTTGGCAGGATTGGCTGCAAACTGATCCCCTTTATACAGCTAACTTCTGTGGGGGTGTCTGTCTTCACACTCACAGCACTCTCAGCGGACAGGTAAGTACTGGCTGAAAGTTATATGCTCTCTGAGGGTGGCTGATATCTCAGAAATGAACTACCATGTCAGGACAGGGAGCTGTTGGCACAAGGGGAAGTTTTACTCAAACTCAAGTTCCCTTCCCGGTAGGTTTTTGTTCTGGAGATTACTTCTTGAGTTTGACATATTGGTTTAAGAAAGAAAAGTGAGTGAATGGTGGGGACAGAAGGAGACAAATGAGAAAAAAAAATCTCTAAGCATTAAGACTAAGGTGTATTTTCTGGAGACGAATTGATTTAGCATTGCCTTTTTCTAATTTCTCCCTCCCTGCAAAATTAATTGACCAGTGAGAAAGGCAATCGTACCCAATATAGTTTAAAATCTCAGGCAAATGGTTTTTAGAAGCAGTTCAAAACCTTCAGAGAACAGAAAAATTCCATTGTATTTCTTCTTCAAAATATTCTTTCAGAAATAACCAAGAGGAGAAAATAAGCCTCATTTCTCTGAAATTCATTTTCTTCAGACAGTTTAACTTTTCTCACAGCTGATTTTATATTTGACTCTCTAGGATTGAACAATTGTGTGCTGGTTTTTCTAAGTCTCTCTTAAATGAAATCAAGCATTATTTGGATTTTTTTTAACTTTCTGGAGAAAGCACCATTCTTTATTGATGTACTTCCATATACCATGACTTTGGGGCTTTTTTGAAGGGAAAAAGAGGGAATCCAGAACAGTTTTTTTATTCTGGGAAATAATATATTCGTGAACTGCATTTCTTGTGTGAGTACATTGCATAAAAGTTTATATTTATTCATTCATTCTTAAAAATTCATGTTCATCTTTTGAACATTTATCAAGTATCTATTATGTAAAAAACACTTGCTGAATTAACAAGTTAGGAAATATCTGCAGGATATTCACATAAATTACTGGACATATCTTATGTACTTCTGTGCTCTGGAAATTGAACACAGTAATGAATAGACTTTCAGACATAGCATAGACCATATGGTCGGGTCAAATCAAGAAAAACTTGTGCAATGAACTTGAGACTATAAATTTTTAACTTAAAAATCAATTATATGCTCTGTGTTAAAGAAACAGAAAGATTTGAGAGTGTACTGGAAAAGACACAGAAGCAGCTCTTGAAAATCTATGCTCTGAAGTAAATATCTCACATTTTAATACATGTGGTGCTGGATTCTCATCTTGTAGAGGAACAAATAGTCCTCAGGTGCTCTGGCTTTGTTGAGTAATGGACAAATAAAGATAGTCTTATCAGTATTTGTAGACATGTGTTTATGCTTAGCTGCCTCACACTGCTTAGCACACGGGACATTTTTAAAGACTGAAAAGTCATGGCCCAGAGGCAAGATTTGCACACTGCACCGGCTGGCCAGGGTTTCTCCATTCCCTCCACTCACCTTCAGCCTGCTCCTACCCTGCACATCTGCCCACCAGATACCAGTGAGCACAGACAGTTTCACGTATTGATTCGGGGCTTGCAAACTCTGGAGCTGGCAGAAGGTCTGTGGCTCACTACCAATGGCCAAGGGCACTTCAGGATGAGGGTAATTTTCTTGATGGGAAGGAGAAACTTTGGTTTCCGGGTTGGGGGGTGCAGTGGTACAGATGGTGTTTACTGTCTTCTTGGGAGGAAAACAGAAAGGAAAGGGAGGGCATGGAATGTAAAGATGCAGCTGCAGGGAGCTTTTCTCTGGAGCTTCAAAGCAGACCAAGTTCACCATCAACAGAAAGGGAAAGCTCTTTCAAAGCCTGGGTGGCACGCTTTGTCAGCTCCAGTGTGTTTTCAGTGGGTTTATAGTTACAACCAGTCCTTCAAAGTTCAGAAATTACTATAAGCTCATCTATAACTTTTTGTGTTGTGTTAAGTCTTAAAAGAGCTGATGAATCTCTTGAACTGCAAATAGTGCATCCAACAAATTTCAACAGAAAGAATAAGTATTGAGCTAGTTAAATTATATCGGACTGTACCTTTCTACTTATCTTATTTTTAAAGGCTACAAGATTCTTATATTAACCTCATTAGGTTGGCAGGACAAAAAATATATTCTATTTTTTCTCTTCTCAACAAGGTGTAATCTATATACACAGTAAACTGAAAAAATACCAGCTCAATATATTTTTACATATGTCTATAGAACTGTATATCCATAACCCAGATGGAGATATGGAACAGTTCCAGCACCTCTTCCTCAAGTTTCTTTATGTACCTTCCTAGTTAATACCCCCTATACAGAGGCAATCACTATTCTGATTTCAAACACCAGAGATTACTTTTGCCAGTTCTTTAATCTCATATACATGAAATCATATAGTAAGTACTCCTTTATGCTTGTCTTCTGTGCTTAACATTGTCTCTGTGACATTCATCCTCGACATAACAGTGGTTTGTTCTTTTTAATTGTGTGTAGTGTTCCATTGTCTCAATATACCTTAGCTTATTTCTCCATTCTAATACTGATGGACATTGGATTACCCAATGTTTGTCTTAATTTGGGGTTGATGATAACCTGCCCTGGACATTCTTATTCATGTTTTGGGGGAACACAAGTGCTTATTTCTCTTGGGTATATGCCTGGGAGTGAAATTGCTGTGGCATATATTTAGTAAATAGATATCCAAACCAGATGATCATCAGAATCATACGAGTGCTTTAAAACCACCTAGACCCCATCCTAAATCTACTGAATCTAGGTTCTGGAGGAGTGAGTGAGACACATAGTGACAATCATCCATCTCTTCTTCCTATAGGTTGACCAGCAATGCCAGTCCTTGTCACAACCTCCCTTTTGTAGTGTTCCTCTCCCCCAGGTGAACTTGAGTCTCTGTCAATATGAAACAAATATCAGTTTTCTAGAAAAGTTAATACCAGTGTCACCTGTCAAAGAAAGACTTCAAGGCAGTCCCAGAAGCCAAAATTCTAGGAATTTTCATGGCTGACCAGTTAATTGTAGGTTTGCAATCAATATTGGTCCCCATCCTCACTCTCCTCCCATGCTTTCTGTCCTTGCATACACTGATGTCTTCATACATGGTGGTTGCACTGACACATTCCAGGCTCTGTTTCCTTGCTTGTGCTGTGTCTCACCCACTCTTCAGAATGCTTTATCCTTTCCTAAATACAAGACTGTACACCCCATCCCATGTGGTACATAGGCAGCATTTTAGACATTTTCCTGGCTTACTATGGAGGAAGTTGAACCAAGTCCTTTAACTCTCTGACTGTAGTTTAATCATCTATAAAATGATAAAGTGGAGCTAGGTAATCTCTATGGTCCCTCTTGTGATTTTTATCTGTCATCTTGTCTATCATTCAGAATCTGGCTTAAGCCTCCTCTTTAAAGCCCTCCTTAGGCCATTTTAACCCAAATTTCTTGATCCTCTTGAGACATGAGACTTAATATCTGAGACATCAATTATTTTGTGACATCTTTTACCTAGTTGTTTTGAAGTGTTTAACTTGTTTGTCTTTTTTTTTTTTTTAGACTCCCATGTATTCATTGCTTTACATTTTTAAGTAGATTATTAAGAATGTTGGCCAGGCTTGGTGGCTCAGCCTGTAATCCTAGTGCTTTGGGAGACCGAGGTGAGTGGATTGCCTGAGCCCGGAGGTTCGAGACCCGCCTGGGCAACTTGGCGAAACCTCATCTCTACAATAAATCAAAAATTAGCCGGGCGTGGTAGCGCGCGCCTGTAGTTCCAGCTACTTGGAAGGCTGAGGTGGAAGGATCGCTGAAGCTGCAGTGGCCAGGAGCGTGCCACTGCACTCCAGTCTGGGCGACAGTGAGACTCCAACTCAAAAAAAAAAAAAAAATGTTGAGGGCAGAGATTTCTTATATCTTCCACAGTGCCCCACAAGGTTTCTTGTGCCAAATAGTTTATCAATAAATATTGACTAATTAAAATTATATCTAGTTAATGCATACTGTCCTCCTTATTCTTATTATTCTTCCCATTTTTTGGGATTCATCTGAAAGCATACTCTTAAAAATGTATCACCTAGTCATCTGCTTCTTATCTGTTCCTCTCTGTTAAGCTCTCATTACCTGGTAAATGAGAGAAAATCTACTTTATGTGAGCCAGTAAACAGATATGGGAATAAATGGATGGATGGAAAGAGGAAAGATAGATGAGCGGATGTGTAGATGGCTAACTAGATAGGGGAGGGTGGGTTGGGTGAATGGGTAGATGGGTGGATAGGTGGATGAGTGGATAAGTGGGTGGATAGATGGGTGAATGGTTGGATAGATGGATATATTATATACTGACCCTTCTTATTAGATGTCCTTCTCTGTGCTAGGTGCCTCAGTATTATGTAGGGCCTGAACTGGACTCTCAACAGAAAAAAGGTAAATATAGTTTGTGGTTTTTTTTTCCTGTAAGTGTAAAATTTAAAGTTACATTTGAAGCTGACAGCATACAATACCCAGGTTATACTATGGACACTTCAGTGTTATTATTCAGTGTTATTTTTGTAAGAATGGGGTTGGCAGAATGAATCCTAAGGACGGATGGATACTGCAGTTTCATTGTAACATGATTCTTCTTCCATTCTATGAAAAACTAGTTCTAAGTTTCTTTGTGATTTAGAATGTGGAAAGAAACAGAAAAGTGTTACATTTGTGCACACTTCTCGAAGTACAAATTATTTGAATTTGTCGCAAGGAATTTATGAGATAATGTGGTTTTCAGTCTTTCCTTACGTCTATAGCTGCGTGGTCCAACCTGGTAGCCACTAACCACATGTGGCTATTTTAATTTAATTTAAATAAGATAGAAAATTCAATTCCCTGGTTGTACCAGCTGCATGTCAACTGCTCAGCTGGTGGTTATGCTATTGGACAGTGCAGACATAGAACATTTCCATCATTGCAGAAGGTTCTGTTGGACAGTGCAGAAAAAATTTTGCTCTGTGCCTTAGAGTTCAAATCTCTTTCCCGGGATACATGTTTACTTCTCTCTTTCATAGCAGGTATCAGTAATTCCTCAGATAGGC